GCTTGCCAGAGCACTCTGCACAGACGCCTCCCTCTCCTCTGTGACTCCACATTCTAAACAGGGGTTCACACCTCTGCTGGGGCTTGTCCCAGTTGGTCTGTGCTCCCCGCCACAAATCTGCATGTGTGTCCCCACACTCTCTTGAGCTCTCCTTGAGGTCGGGGGATGTGCCTTTTTCGTCTTTTCACTCTCCTTCCACAGTACCCACACTATGCCTTACACACAGAAAGTACAAGGAGAATGTTTGTGGCATTGGACTGAATTACATTATGCAGGGTTTCTAGATTCTTTCATGGGCAAGCCCCATGGTAAAGGTCAGCTCACAGTCTGAGTAGCATTCACTGAAGGATTCCACAGTCAACCTAGAGGCATAATCCCTGTTAGGAGCATAAATGAGATGGTTCCCTCCAGAACACCTTATTGATAGATACATCTTTAGTCACCATTTACCTTGGTGGCTGGGGCACATTCAGAAGGTTTTCTTTGAAATCTCAAAATGGCAGTGACTGATCCACCTGCCTCAGAGGCTTCCTTCAAGTACAAACAAATGAAATGGAAACTAGAAAAACAGGAGAGAAAATCAATGAAACCAAAACCTGGTTCTTGAAGATCAATTAAGTTGATAAAGTTCTAGCCAAACTGATCAGAAAAAAGAAAGAAAGAAGGAAAGAAAGAAAGAAATCACCAATATCAGTAATGGGAGAGGTAACATCCCTTTGGATTCTGCTAATATAAAAGTGACAATCAGTAAATATCACAAACAAGTTTGTGTCAACAGATTCTGCAACATAGATGAAATGGACAAATTCCTTAAAACACATGAACTACCAGGGTTTACACAAGAACAAATAAACAACCTGAACAGAAATAAACTACATCTGTTACAGTAAACTAAATTTGAAATTAAAACTTTCCTGCATATAAAACGTCAAGCCCAGATGACTTTACTGATGAACTCTACCAAACATTGATATAAGAAATACTACCAATTCCCCACAATGTATGCCAGAAAATGGAAGGGAGGTTCCTAATATATTCTAGGAGAGCAGTATTACTACAACACAAAACCAGTGAACGACATTACAGGAAAGCAATCTGCAGATCCTCATGACCATACACGAAAAACTTTTAAACCAAATTTTAGCAAATCAAATCAAATAATATTCAAAAACGTGATATATATTAGCAGATTATACATGATAACCAAGTGGAGTTTATCTCAGAAAAACAAGGCTGGCTTAACATTAGAAAATCCATCAAGATTGTACAGCCATGGTCATAGCAGCAATATTCACAATAGCCAAGATGGAAAAGCAGCCCAAGTTGTCCACTGGCAGATGC